ATAATTTTTCTATAAACGCAATATTTACGAGAACATACTTCTCACGTACTTTATACAATATGTTGTCAAAATTTAAACACTATTATCACATAAAAGCAATTATTCTCTTAGTTTTACAAGATTTTTTTTTATTTAAACAAACTTTATATGAAGTCTTTCGGATGTTAAGGTTAGCAAATTCGATCACAACCATCACAACCTGTCTAACACGTATCACTTTTCAAATATTAATAGTAAACCAGTATTAATTAGTAGTCGTTGACCGTCCTCTCTTCCGGGAGGAGATCAACCACTACTTTTGATCGAATTACTTCAACTTACTTTCTATCAGACCAGCGGTATAATGGCATTCGAATAAGAAAATTACATAATACGAGGTTTGCAGCCAGCACAAAATACGTTTTAAGAGATTTTCGAGGGTGTTGAGTTAAAATATTTGGTCTGTTTTTTGCGAAATGTGATTCGTTGGCAGATTACCGTTTGATGTTCGGCTGTGAAAGGTATAGTTTCTTAGCTTTAACATCTGGAAAAAAAATATGACATGTTAAAAAATTAATATATATTTTCAATTGGTGTTTACTTGACCAATGAAATAGTGTCACTTCGTATCATCTGAGTATTGTGATAAACACAACAACTGCAGGCTAAATAAGCAAACTTTTTGTATGGTTTTCGTTTTAATGTTTGTTATATTATAGTATTTGATTTATATAACTGCAAAGTTTATTTTACGTAAGGTTTATCACAACGAGTGATCAATCTAACGCATTTTAAAATTTCTTTATTCCTCTACCGTACAAAATTTAAAGAATTTTTAAAATGTGTTAGATTGGTCACTTGATGTGATAAACCTTTACATAAGATAATCTTTGTAGTTTATAGTATTTGATTTACAACTATATATATAATATAATCGAAAGGTTAGAAGTACGAAATAATCAAATACAGTAAACCCCCTTATAACACGGGTTCCTATAGTTCGGGTTCCTATATTACAGCGAAAAAATTGCGACAGTATTCGTACAAACACGCTAAAAAAACTCGTATAATTCGGCAAAACGTCATCGCCGACTCGTGTCGCGACAGGAGTGGTCGAATCTAGACCAATAGCGGATATTGTACAAACCGTCGAGTTTAAACCAGCAACGGACCTACTAAAAACCATTTATTATTTAACGTCCATAAAAATTATATTTATATTAATGATGTCTCCAAAGTTCAGCGAATTTTTCGGAAAAAAAATAATTTATCAGGAAGCACGCGAGCGCCATTCGATGACAAGCTCCACGACGAAAACAAGCTTAAGCAATGGCGTCGTCGAACGGTGCACATTCGGTAAGTAATCCTACAAATTTTTGTTTATAGCATAGTTTATATGGATTATTCCCAAAAAATTATACGTATTTTGGAAATGTTGAGTCGAATTAGTCTAGAATCGATTAATTTTATGGAAGAAAACCTTTCAAACAGCCGTAGTCCGTATATTGCATAAGTGCCGGGCTGTGATTGGCTCGTGTATTTAAGCACTCTTAAAACATCAATTTCATAAAGAACGGAATGTATCTACCGTGTTATAGGGGGTCGACTGTATTCAAGTTATTACAGGTTCTGGCAAGTAAAGAATTTTCAGAGTCCTGCCACAAATAGTCTACATATTGATTATTGACAATCTGTGACGTGCCATAACAAGCAAAAATATAAAAAGCTAATAAGCAGGCTTAAAATTAATAAATACAAATGTATTCTGACAGTTTATGAGTTAATTATACTTTCTATTTGCAAAATTTCATCAACCTTAACACAAAATAAGAAAAAAAGTGAACTTTTAAGAAATTTGCGGGATTTCCCTGGATATTTCTCGGGTTAAAAAACAGCCAGGATCCCGTTAGAGAAACCCTAATCATAAGTATACAGTTCACGTCTAAAAATAAAATAATTCTATACACANGTATACAGTTCACGTCTAAAAATAAAATAATTCTATACACATGAATCATTGTGAATGCAATTTTTTTCATTAACGCTTTAGTAGATTTTCACACAATCTTAATGTAATATATTGATAAACTGCATAATCTTCAGACTAAATTAAAAAGCGAGCGTAAACAAATATAGCACTGTGCTCTGACAAATTATATAGCAACGTCCACAACGCTCAGATCACATATACCTTATCAAACTTAACGAAGATACAAAAAAACGACTTAACACATATTCCAGTGCAAACTATTTTACAGTATTTTATCAAAACCTGAACATTTCTTTTACCCAAATAGATATTCAGGTTAAAAATAAATTATTGGTGATTTTTGTTTGGAAATTATCCTTAAGAGACAGCAGATCCGAATTGACAATGTATTTATTTATGTCTAGGTGCGTGTTCCTGGTGATAGAGATACTGAATACTACTGCAAGTTCTTCAGAACGCCTGAATTAAGTCGAAAACATCACATTGTTAAAGTAAACTATTCATTATTTAAAGTTCTTCGTGTTTTAATTCACATAAATACTCTCATTATTAACATATTTATTTAGCTTGAGGCAATTATTGAACCTGGAAATGAAAAACTTGTACATCATATGATCCTGTACGAGTGTACTGGCATCGAGACAGATAGAATAACACCTTATTTAAATGAAGAATACACCGAATGTTATAATGAAGAAAACGTACGGAAATTTCCATTTTGTTTTAATGTCATCGGTGGTTGGGCCGTTGGGGGAGAGGTAAACAAGTTTTAGTGTTTTATACATTAATTAAAAGTTATAAAATACTCATTTTTACTTTGTTTTTATAGTCATTTATTTATCCTGATCAAGCAGGCCTTCCACTAGGCATTCCAGAAGTCAAATGGATTTTATTAGAAACTCATTACGATAATCCTAGTTTACAAAAAGGTAATTTATATTTATATAATGCTAAATTTTTTCGACGATAATAAAAGACTATTTGCATAGGAATCGTTGATAATTCTGGATTTAGAATTACGTACACGTCAAAACTTCGTAAACACGATGCTGCAATGTTAGCTGTTGGAAATTTATGGTATCCTTGCATGTTTATCCCACCAAAACAGAAAGAGTATATTGTCGCAGGACACGCACATCCATCTTGTCTACGTCGGGTAATTATTAAAGTCATTCGTGTTTTTTTTTTGGAAAAAAATCAATAAAAGAATATTTAAAACATTTTACAGCAAGTTCCCCCGGAAGGAATCAAAATATATAGTTTTCTACTTCATTCTCATATCATAGGTACTGTACGATATTCTATTAATTAAAAAATGTATTTAAAATAACTTATCTAAAAAAAAATTTAATTTAGGTAAACAAATGTTAGTCAGACATTTTCGAAATGGAGAAGAGTTACTTCCCTTAGCTAGAGATTTAAATTACGATTTTAATTATCAGGTAAGTAATTTCTATTGAATGAGTAATTCTGTGATTTATAAATTGAATTTACGAGAAATGTTTTGCTTTAAACTTTTTCAATTTCTGATAGCAACTTAAATATTTGCCCGCAGAACGCACTGTACTGCCCGTGAGTATAAAATCTAAATTATTTTTTCGTTGTTAGAGTACGAGTATGACGTTACGAAACTTCTTTAATATTATATATTAGCTATGAAAGGTGAAATGAATGTAATTTTAATTCATTTCTTCTATAATAGAACGATCAATTGGTGGTGGAATGTGTTTATGACTCTTCAAAAAGAGATAAAGTAACTTTTGTAAGTAGCGAAATTAAAATTCTCAAATTAGAGTTAATATAAGTGCAATTTTAAATATTTCATTAATTACATAAGCATATTCTGTAATTCTATTTCAGTAATTCTATGTAATTTATCAAATAATAAATAAATAACCCCTTATTTGAAGCTGTCTACTTTTTGACAGATTGAAGGAACTCACAGAAATGACTTAAAAATATTAAATAATGTTTAGAATTCAGTTTTATAAATGACTTAGCTATTTATTAAAAATTATAATTAAAGATAATCAACACAACTAATCTGTTAATTATTTAAAATACGAAATGAACAGCCGGATTCTTTATCGGGTTATAAGGCTAAATAATTAATAAGCGATTTGGCTGTATAGTTAGGTATTTACATTATGCTAATAA